GCAGAGGGATCCACGAGACCCTCAGCTCCAATTAACCAGCAAAATGCCAGAAGTGGGCCGTGGCTCCAGTGGTACAGCGACAGCCTGGAGCGAAAAAAGCCACGCCAGAGTGCAGAACCCGGGGTTCAAGCTCCAGCACAAGCAGAAAGCCCCAGCTGGGCCCGGCAGGGCTGGGCCTGGCCTGCGTCCCGCTCCTCCGTTCAACGGGGCTAATTAAAAGCCTCCCCCGAGAGGCCTGGGACACCTGCGGTTATGCACAGCCCAGCCATCCGCAGGGCAGGGCCAGAGTTCGCGCGAGAAGAGGAAAAGGGACTTCAGCGCCGGAAGCGCGCGCATGCGCACGCCGCCCGGAGCCCGGGTCCGCCGCCCCATCCCATAGCGCGGACCCCGCACACCCTCCTCTTCCCCCTGCTCTAACACCCTCATAGCCCCTGCAGGTCCCACACCGTCTAGTCCCGTTCCCGCCAGCGGGAGCACTTGGAGCGGGAGGTGATGTCATCCTAGCCTCCGCGCAGGTGCGGGGCGGTACCGGCCGCGGCCGGCAGGTGGCAGCAGCGCCTAGTGCCTGGGACCCGCGGAGCCGCCCAGTTGCTCAGTGCAGAGCCTTGGAGGCCCACTGCACCTGCTGGCCACGTCCGCTGGGCCCCAAGCCCCGCCGGAAGTCGTGTCCGGAGAGGCGAGGCAGGGCCTGGCAGAGAACGACAGGGAAAGCCAGGTTGAAATGCTGCCCTGAACAAGTAGGAGAAACCAATGCCTTTAACAAGCAGCCACCAGACTTCAAAGAGCGATTATCCATCAGCTGTCTAGATCAAAGAATGGATGGGTATGCCTGTAATCCCTGCACTCGCGAAGCTGAGGCAAGAGGACCGCAAGTTTGAGACCAGCCTGGATTACATAATGAGAGTCTGTCTCCAAAAATAAAAAAAGACTAAATTAAACAAGTAAAAAGAATAGGGGTGAAACCAGGCATTGGTGGCTTAAACCTGTAATCTAGCTACTCAGTTATGGGCCAGCTTGGGCAGACAGGTGTATGAAACTCCATCTCCAAAGTAACCAGAAAAAAGCTGAGCTGGAGGCAAAGCTCTTGGGGTAGAGCATCAGCTTAGCAATTTCCACTCCTACCATACTACTCCCAAGTTCCCAGCTGGCACCCCACAGAAACTGCACACACCATCTGGGGGCTCCCCTGGGTGTTGATGAAAGGGCCTCAGATGCTACTCAGTCCAGGCTGACCCCCCACCTGCTCCCCCCAACCTGATTTTACTGAAGGACACCCAAACAGCAGCGAAGGGATCAGTCCTATCTTATTTACATGGCTAATGCCAGAACCTTGCTCTAGCTCACAATACTGGTGTACTTTAAGCTGGGTATCGTAGCACATGCCTGTAATCTCAGCACTAGAAGGCAGAAGCAGGAGGATCAAGAGTTCAAGGCCAGCTGAGAATGTGGCCTAGTGGTAGAGTGCTTGCCTAGCATGCAGGAAGCCCTGGGTTCGATTTCTCAGTACCACATACACAGAAAAGACCAGAAGTGGCACCATGGCTAAAGTGGTAAAGTGTTAGCCTCAAGCAAAAGAAGCCCAGGGACAGTGCCCAGTCCCTGAGTTCAAGCCCCAGGATTGGCAAAAAGAATAAAAGTTCAAGGTCAGCTTAAGCTACATTGTGAGGCCCTGACTCAAAACACAAAATGCAAACAAAAAGGCTACTGGCATAACTCAAGTAGTGGAGCTCCTGCCAAGCAAGAAGGAGGCCCTGGGTCCTAGGATTGAAGAAAAAAAAAAAACAGAAAGGAGGAAGGAGAGAATAAATTGGTATATTTTTGTTTATTTTATTTTATTTTTGTGTTGGTCCTGGGGCTTGGATTCAGGGTCAAGGCTGCTCAAGGCTGGTGCTCTGCCACTGGAACCTCAGCTTCACTTTTGAATATTTGGTGGTTCGAGTCTCATGGACTTTCTTGCCCAGATTGGCTTCAAACCATGATCTCAGCCTCATGAGTAGCTAGGATTGGATTACAGTTGTGATCCATAGTGCCGGCTACAACTAACATATTCTTTTCATAATGGAAATAAGCCCCAGACACAATGCCTTTCCCCCTCTCCAGCCCTGCCTTTGTTCCTGTGCTCACAGGTCCCTCCTGGACACCAGAGCAGATTTTCAGCTGCCCTGTCACCCTGAGGCTGCCTACTGGGAACCCTCTTTGTTCCTGTGCCTCCAGCCTGGACCTCCCCCCAGAATTCCAGACTCCTAGGGGTCTACGTGCCTCCCCTTGGGCTGTCAATTTTTCTTTTTTTCTTTGTTCGTTGTGGAGCTTGAACTCTGGACCTGGGCGCTGTCCCTGAGCTCTTCAGCTCAAGGTGAAAGTGAGCCACAGCACCACTTCTGGTTTTCTGGTGGTTCACTGGAGATAAGAGTCCCACAGACTTTCCTGCCCAATCTGGCTTGGAATTACAATCCTCAGATCTCAGCCTCCCGAATAGCTAGGATTTCAAGCATGATCCACCGGTGCCCGGCTTCAATGTTTGATTAAATGGCAGGCCTTGTTGAGAACCACCTGACAAGTCTGAAGCCCCTATTCCCGCTGCACTGAGCCCACAGCTGCTCCACCTCCCACCTCCCCCACTTCTGGTCAGAAGCCTTGCTCCGACCCAATGCCCTTCACACCAGTAGTCCCAAATACTCAGGAGGCTGAGCTTTGAGGATCATGGTTCAAAGCCAGTCTGGGAAGGAAAGTCTGTGAGACTCTCATCTCCAATTAACTGCCAAAAATAGCTGGAAGTAGAGCTGTGGCTCAAGTGGTAAAGCATTTGCTTCTTTTTCTCTTTTGTTTTTGTTGGTTATAGGGCTTGAACTCAGGGCCTGGTCTGTCCCTGAGCACTTTTTCCTCATACTTGCATCCTCTCTGTCTTCTCCCTACTATATGGGGTTCCCCGGAATACAGAATGGGCCCGATGCCTGCTTTGCCAAGCCATGTGTGTCCTGGCCACAGGCTTCCCCTGAACACAGGAAATTCCCCTTGACCCCAGGAAAGTCCCCCTCCCTATGGCACCCTCTCATGTGCCAAGTGAGTGGCAGCTGGTGGACAGCTGGGAGGGGTGTGGCTGCCTGGTTGCTAAGCCAGACACATCCCAGTGTCTCGAGCCAGATTCTTCATGGAAGGCTGGACCAGCATCCCCAGCCTGCCTGCCAGCCAGCTAACCTAAGCTGGAAGTCTGGGACATGTGCCAGGCCCAGACATGCTGGACAGCAGGAGGCTGGACTGGATCCAGAGCAATGCTGGAAGGGGTTGGGGGGGGGGCCAGGAAGGTGGCTCAGTGGTAGAATGCTTGCCTAGCATGTGTGAAGTCCTGGGTTCGAGTCCTCAGTTTCACATACACAGAAAAACCAGAAGTGGTGCTGTGGCTCAAGTGGTAGAGTGTTAGCTTTGAGGAAAAGAAGCTCAGGGACAGTGCCCAGGCCCTGAGTTCAAGCCCCAGGACCAGCCAAAAAAGAAAGGAAGGAAGGAAGGAAGGAGAGAGAGAGAGAGAGAGAGCGCTAGGAAGAGGGAGGGTTGGGAGGGTGTGGGGGTGGCCATGCTTGCACCTAGATGTCGGCAGGGAGCCTGAGAGGGTCATCACCCCATTACCCCCGTGGGTCTTTGCATTGAGCCATGAAGGAGCCAGAGCCCAGATTGAGCTCAATCTGACCTAAAGATGGTTGGGGAGGGCCACAGAGAGAGAGGTGCAACCTGTATCCTCACTTCCTGCAAACTGCTGGGCCTCATGAGCAGAAAAGAGGTAGCCCCAGCCTCCCACCCTGGAAAAGAGGGGACCAGAGCCTGCATCCTGATGAGGGTGGGAGAAGAGGGAAGGGCAAGGAGGAACTCTCTGAATGAGTGCGGGTGGAGAGGGGTGGGGCGTGTGTAGGTGCAAGTGCACCAGTCCTGGGGCTTTTACTCAGGGCTCAGGGCCTAGGCACTGTCTCTGAGCTCTCTACCACTTTGAGCCACAGCTCCACTTCCAGCTTTTTGATAGTTCAGTGCAGATAAAAGTCTCATGGATTTCCTGCATGGACTGGCTTCAAACCCAGATCCTCAGATCTCACCACTGAGTAGCTGGTACTACAGGTGTGAAGGCTTGGATGGGGAAATTTTGTTTTTATTTTGCCTGTCCTGGGGCTTGAACTCGGACTAGATGCTGTCCCTGAGCTCTTTTGCTCAAGCCTAGTGCTCTACCTCTTTGGGCCACAGCACCACTTCCGGTTTTCTGGGGGTTAATTGGAGATAAGAAGCCTCATTGATTTTCCTGCCCAGCTGGCTTCGAACTGCGATGATCGGATCTCAGCCTCCTGGGTAGCTTGAATGAGACATGAGCCACAGCACCCAGCTTGGATGAGATTTTGGGGATTTTGACCTGGGAGTAGGGTTCCCTCCTCCAGCAGCAATTCCAGGGGATGAGAACCCAGGCCCAGACCAGGACGCTGAAGGAAGGATGCTGTGGTCGGACAGGGGAGGGGCAGACCCCCGGCTGGGTCCACACCGGGAGACGCTATGCAGGCACGGTGGAGGGCGTCTCCCACCAGGGCTCCAACCCCGCCAGGAGATTTAGCAGTTTAGTATGGAGTGCAGGGCGAGCAGGCGAGGCTTACCGAGGTGAGGCGTGGTCTTACAGGCGTGGGTAGGACCAGGGCTCGAAGGGGTAAGGCCTTGGGTCACGGGCGTGGTCTGGAGGGACAGTGGGCGAGTCTTGTTGCGTAGAGGCGGGGAGGGATTGAAGGCGTAGTCTTTGTGGGGCCTGGGTGGGGCCTAGCGCGGCCTGGGTGGGGCTTTGGGCGTGGCCTTATGGGCTACGGGCGTGGCCAGGGTGTTGACAGATGGGTGGAGCTGTGGGCGTGGCAGTGCGATTGTGGGTGGGACTGTGGGCGTGGTCCTGGGAGGGCGGGGCCGGCTGGGGCCGGGCCGGGGTCCCGGGGGCTGGGGCGGGGCCGGGCGGGCGCTGCGCAGTCGCGGGGCGGCCGTCGCGCATGCGGGACTTGGTCGCTGCAGCCGGTGCCGCCGCTGCTCGGGGAGCATGAAGGACCGAACCCAGGAACTCCGCACGGTGAGTGCGCCCCGCGGGGACGCCGTCACCTGTGCCTGGGCGCTGGACAACCTTGGCCCCTCTCCCGCGGTCCCCGAGGCGCGGCCCAGCGTCCCCGACCGGGACGCAGAGAGCTGGGAGAGCCGCGGGACCCTGACCTCCCCTCGGGTCCCGCCCCTTGGACTCCTTTGGGGTCCCCGACTAGCGCGAGCTCGGCCGCGGGGGCCCGCGTGGGTTGGCGGCCGGAGCCTGCGGTGCTGGAGAAACTTTCCAGGACCTCGCGGTTTCGGGGGCATCGGAGGGCTGGGGTGGGGGGTTTCGGGGGCGGGACGGGAGCCACCTCCCCGCCCGAGGGGCAGGTCTGGTCTCCGGTCCCCCATTGTCCCACGTCCCCCTGGATGTGGACAGCGGGAGCGGGCCGGGCGCCACCTGCCAGGAGCCCCGCCGCGGGGTGCCTGGCGGATGCCCGGGTTCGGGGCGCCCTCCCGGGCGGGAGCCGCCTCGTCCGCGTCACCTGTGGCTCGCGTCCTGCTGGCCCGGTCCTCGGCGCGCCCGGGTGTGGGGGTGGGCGCACACCTGTCCGGCCCCTGGCTCACTTTCGGGCTCCAGGGTGACGTTTGCAAACCTTTCCTGGGTCCCCTGGTCTGACGGCAGCGAGAGGCATTTATTTTTCCACCTGTGTCTCCCAGGGCCTTCGGGGTGTGGCTCCTGGGGCGCGGCTAGCGGGGTGCGTGGAGGTTCTGAGTCCCAGCTCCAGGTCTCCCAGTCCTGACGGAGACCCCAGCTGCCCCGCCTCCTGCACGGGTCCCCCTTGCCGCCCTCCCCACCCCCCGCCTTTAGGGATGGGAGGAGGTGGGGGGGGGGATGACAGAAAGGAAGCCGGCACGTGGGATCAGGCCCTGCTCACTGATCCCGTGGAGCCCCAGGCTTAGCAGCTCCTCACTTAGAGCCAGACCCCTTGCCCCTCTTGCATGGGAACTTACTTCTGACCCCATAGCTTGTGATCTCTGACCAGATGCTCCCCAAATTTGTGCCTGCCTCTTCTCCTGAGGTGGGGGAAGGCCCCGTTTTCTGCTTCCATCTCACCCCGTTCTGCGCCTGCCAGCCCCCACCTGCCTTCAGACCTGTGTTTACTCCTGGCCCAGTGCCCAGCCCCAGGGTAAACCCCACAGGTTTCAGAGGAAGACGATGGTCCCTCCTGGTCTCTAAACACCCCCACTGGCGATGCTGCTTCTCTCAGGTGTCCTGCTGTCCTAGCAGAACATGGCCGGGCAATTACCTATGTTGAGATGTCTCATGGGTACCAGTGGAAACCCAGAGATTGGGGGATACAGTCCTTCCCCCCTCCATCTTCCAGTAGCTCCTGGCTTGCCGGTCTTCATCCCCTCTGTGGGTGGGGAAACTGAGGCACTGAGAATCAGCACCTGGCTTGGCAGATGAAGGGATAGGGTGCAGGGGCTCAGCATGGCCTCTGAAGGTGGTCAGAACTGAGGGTTCCCCCAGAAGAGCTTGAGTTGTGAGGTACTTGTGAACCCAGAACTTTGCCCTTCCCTCTCTGCTTGGTGACTCCCTTCCACAGGAATGCCTAGCTTTGCCTTTTTTTTATTTTATTTTATTTTATTTTTTTGTCGGTCGTGGGGGCTGAACTCTGGGCCTGGGTGCTGTCCCTTAGCTCTTAGCTCAAGGCTAGTGCTCTACCACTTGAGCCACAGTGCCACTTCCAGCTTTTTCTGCATATGTGGTGCTGAGGAATCGAACCTAGGGCCTCAGGCATGCAAGGCAAGTGCTCTACCACTGAGCCACCTTCCCAGTCCAACCCCCCTCCCCTCCCCCCGCTTTTTTTTATATATAGTGAGATAGTGTCTTGCTCTCTAGTTTGTGCTGGCCTTGAACTCAGGATCCTCAGGATCTTTCTGTTTCAGTTTCCCAAGTGCTGGTGTTACAGATCAGGCTCTGGTTTTGCTCCTTTTGTATGTGCCCTATGCACCCAGAGCGTGCAGAGCTCCTGCACCACTAGAACTGCTCCTCAGATGAGGCCTTCTAGCAGATTCTATTTTCTGGCAGGAGCCCACACTGGCTTGGGGGAGGGAGGGAAGAGAGTGAATCTTGAGGTGTTGTCCTTCCTAGAGCTCCCTTTCCCTTTGGGCCTGGGGTTTCCATCTGTGAAGCAGGAGGAAAACCTAGATTTCAGATTCTCAAAGGCTTCTGATTTTCTTACTCCGCATTTGGAGGGGACCTTGAACCCCAGGAGCCTACCCTTACCCCCTTGAAGGGAGAGAGGCTAGGGCTGGCCAGGGTGACCATAGACAGTTCAGGCCAGCAGCTGTGCCCTGCTCCCATTCTTCCTTCCTCCCCCCCCCCTCCCTTCCTCTTCTCCTCCCCCACCCACCGCTGCCAGATTTGGAAGGAAGGAAAGGAGCTTATTTATAAAAGTCACACTTGGGAAGGAGCTGCTGTTTCCTCAGCTCTGCAGCCCTAGCCCAGCCCTCCCACATGCACCTCTCATGGGGCCCATTTCCCTCTCAGCAGAGGGGCAGTGCACAGCTCCTTGTGGCCTGTGTGGGTCCCTCATCAGTATTCAGAGATCGGGTCAGCCCCTCAGGGTGCACATGGGAAATGAGACCCTAGAGGAGTAAAACTGGCTCAAGCCAGCTGAGGATCGCAGTTAAAAGTGGGACCAGGCAGAAAAGTCTGTGGCTCTTCTCCAATTAACCACCAAAAAGGCTGGAAGTGGAGTTGTGGCTCAACTGGTAGAATGCCAGCCTTAGGTGAAAAAGCTAAAGGACAATGTCCAGGCCCTGAGTCCAAGCCCCAATACCAGCTCCAACTCCACCGCCCTCCCCCTACCCCCCCCCCCCCAAAAAAAAAAAAAGAAAAAAGGATGGATCAGCTCAAGCGAAAGCAAATAGCTACCAAGTAAGGCTGGGGGTGCTCACACCCAGCCTCCAGAGTCCCTTGAGGTCTGGCGTAGGCCAAGATCACTGGAAACTGAAGCTCCCTCCCGTGCGCGCCCCTCCCCCCCCTCCCGCCCCAGCCCACCCACCCATCCTCTGTCTCTTGTTCAGTTCCTCTGTTCAGCTCACCTGTGGAGTGGAGCTGATTTTACAGAGAAGGTGAGAACAGGCCCAGAACAGGCCCCCCTTCCCTCCCTCCAGCTCAGGGGTGAGGGTATGTGTGTGTCTTAGACTGAAGGATGGCAACACAATTTTTATCTGGGGTGCTGATGGCCTCATTCTCTGCACTACTGGGATTTGAACTCAGGGCCTCGTACTTGCTAGGCAGGTGCTCTACTATTTGACCTCAGCCCTAACTTCCTGTCTCAGATCACGCAAGCCAAGATCAGAAAGGGCTAGGCTTTATCCAAGGTCACACAGCAGAGCCCAGCCTCTTTCCAGATCTGGGCCTTAGTGAGCTCCCAGGGGCCCTCTGAAGGAGACCCATCCTGGGGGGGAGCAGAGAGCCCAGGATGTGGGGAGGGAACAGAGGTGCCCCGATTTTAGAGCCAGCTTTACTGGGGAGCTGCCTGGCCTCTCCCATACCCTGATTCTACTCCGGGCCTCTCTGCCCAGTGATATTGACTTTGATTAGTCATTAAAAAGAGGAAAGGGAAAAAATAGCCCTGGAGGCAGACAACAGAGCTGGCTGGGCCCAGCTGTGATGAATCCACCCTGCCTGCCGGCTGGCCTGACACCAGGCGGGATGGGCTGGAGGCCACAGGGCCTTAGTGCCTCCTGTAGTGGCCAGACTCGTTACCTGGAAGGCACCCTGGGGTCCAGGACCAAATACAGGATGAACACCAGGGCTGCCCAGCACCACCCAGAGCAGCTGTTTTCTGCCCTGATGGTTCAATCCAGCTATGAGGCCTGAGCTGGGGCTGTTGCCCAGAGGCTGGAAAACCAGACCTAAGCTATCCAGGCGTAGAGAGGGCATTTTATGTGCTGTGCTATGGAGCACAGGGCCTTGGGCTTGCTAGACAAGTGCTTGAACTCAGAGCCTGCTTGCTAGGCAAGCATTTTACCACTTGAGCCATGCTCCAGCTCTTTTTGCTTTAGGTCCCCTGTCCTCCCCCTCCCCCCCTCAGTAATGGGGCTTGAACCCAGCCTGGGCAATGTCCCTCAAGGCTAGGGCTCTACCACTTGAGCCACAGCGCCACTTCCAGTTTTCTGGTGGTTAATTGGAGATAAGAGTCTCACTGTCTTTCCTGCTTATGCTGGCTCTGAACCAAGACCCTCAGATCTCAGCTTCCTGAGTAGCTAGGATTACAGGTGTGAGCCACAAGCACCCGACTTGCTTTAGTTTTTGTTCCCCCCCCCTCTTTTTTTTTTTTTTTTTTTAGACAGGTCTCTTCCCTTTGCTCAATCTGGCCGCAGATTTTAATCCTCCTACCTCTGCCTCCAGGGTGCCTCTTGGGATTACAGGTGTGAGCTATCAAATCTGGCTTGGAGGAGCCACACCAGCCACACCCTTACAAACTCCCACTCAGCCTCCAGAAAGGTCTAGAAGCACGCTTTTTTTTTTTTTTTTTTGGTCCGGTCATGGGGCCTGAACTCTGGGCCTGGGCGCTGTCCCTCAGCTCTTCAGCTCAAGGCTAGCGCTCTACCACTTGAGCCACAGTGCCACTTTCGGCTTTTTTCTTTTTTTGCTTATGTGGTGCTGAGGAATCGAACCCAGGGCCTCAGGCATGCAAGGCAAGCGCTCTACCACTGAGCTACCTTCCCAGCCCCTAGAAGCACGCTTTTTAACTATCACCACCACCCCTCCCCTGGAGCTGGGCCAGGGTTGACAACCGTAGAATGAGAAATGAATACCAGGCTTGAGTGTTGGTAGGACTCAAAGGGATTAAGAATGCTGGTGCCTCTAGGTTTCTAGCTTGGGGTGGGGGAATGGGGCTAGGATAGTGGGGGTTTGGGCTGGAAATTTTGAGGTGATCTGGGGAAAGGTGGAGGCCAGAAGGTATCTCAGTACATCTGTCCAGAGGGCACTGGGGCTTTTGAACCTGTGGCTCCAGCTGCCTCCGCCACATCAGACCTTCCCAGGTTCCTAGCTGCGTTACAGCTCTGTTCTGGAAGATTTCACTTGTTTTTGTTTGGGGGCTGTACCAGGGTTGGAACTCAGGGCCTTGAGCTTGCTTTCTTGGGCTGGTGCTCTACCATTTAAACCACACCCCAGCCCAGCATTTTGCTGGAGTTCTCATGGACTTTTCTGCTAGGCCTGGCCTCAAACCTAGTTCCTCAAGATCTTGTTCTACTGAGTAGATAGGATTACAGGCATAAGCCACCGGCCTCTGGCCCCATCTAGGTTTTTCTGAGAGCCACCATAGCTGGTGGGACCACAGCAGAGAAGTCATACCCCAAACCTTCTGATTGGCTATGGGGCCCCTCTGAATACCAGGTCCAGGGTGGAGCCTGTCCTGGTTGCCCCATTCAGGCTCAGAACCTGCATCTCTGTCTCCCCGTTCTGGCATCATGGACCTAAGTCCACACATGTCTCTCTGTGTCCTCATGGGAGAACCTTTTGGGTTTATCTTTGCACCTGTGGGCAGGGATAGTTTTGAGGCCAGAATGGGCAGATGCCAGCAGAACACAGGTCTCTGTGTGACACATAGCAGGCTGAGGTCCAGAGGGGCTTAGACAAGCCAGGGGTCTCTGAGGACAAGGCTGGTACCCTCTGTTACCCCGGACATTCCTCTTGCTGGCAAAGGGACTGCTAGAATATTCTCTGTGCACCCTTTCCCAGTCTCCCTGACCTTCAGCCACCCAAAGGACCCAAGGTGCGGATGGCACATCTTAACCTGGCTGGCTGCCCAGGATGTCGTGTGCCTCAATCTCCCCCGGGAGGGCTTGGGCCTGGCATGGTCCAGGAGTATGGGGTTGCCCCTGTCTTGTCTATGGGTGGGCTTGGGGGAAGGGTGGCCACCTAGCAGCCTGGCCAGCAGATGCTGGTGAGAAGGAGGGTGCTTTTAGCTTTGGAGAGGAGGTGTGATTTTTAGACTTAGGGGGGGGTGTCCCCCAGCTGCCTCCAGCCACCCCACTGTGACTGTCTGTTGCTTGTAGTGGGTCCCACTTTGGGGGGATGAAGCCAACCTCCTCTCTGTAGCCCTCTCTCCCTGCAGCCAGAGGGTCCTCCCTTAGCCCCTCATCCCCAGTCCTGGGGAAGAACCCAGCGGGAGGTGGCTGCTCCCCTGGGAAGTGAGCCCCAAGCTGGGCACTGGTGGCTCACGCCTGTAATCCCACCTACTCTGGAGGCTGAGATCTGAGGATCATAGTTTGAAGCCAGCCCAGACAAGAAAGTCCATGAGACTCTTATTTCTAATTAACCACCAAAAAGCTAGACATGTTCATTACTGTTTTCATTTTCTTTTCTGTCTTATCTCTTTATCTGTCTTTGGGAGGGTGAGGGTAGGGGCACAGAAATGGACGGATAAAGGGCGAACAGCAGTGGTGCTCACTAGACACTCTGTAGAAAATGTACTGTACAGTTTTTGGGTGGGGATGGAGGGAAAAACTGGGAAAAAGTGAGGGAAGGGGTGACATTGTCCAAAAAGAAATGTACTTTTTACCTGAGTTATGTAATTGTAACCCTTTTTTTTTATAATAACAAAAAACTAAAAGAAAGCTGGAAGTAGAGCTGTGGCTCAAGTGGTAGAGCACCAGCCTTGCGCAAAAGACAGTATCTAGGCCTTGGTTTTTAAACCCAGGACTGGAGAAGGAAGGCAGGAAGGAAGGAAGAGAGGGATGGAGGAAGGGAGGGAGGAAGAGAGGGAGGCAGGGAGGGAGGCAGGGAGGGAGGGAAGAAGGAAGGAAGGAAGGAAGGAAGAAAGAAAGGAAGGAAGGAAGGAAGGAAAGAAAGGAGGGAAAGGAGGGAATGGAAAGGAAATGGGCCCCAAGTCCCCGTGGGAGAGGTGGCAGCCATGCCTGGGCAGAGCTGGCTGACCCTGGCACCCTCCAGGCAGCCAGGGACAGCAGGACCATCAGCACCCAGGACGTATGGATTTCCTACAGCTCATGCAGGGCTCTGATTTGTACACACCCTGGGCGAGGGCTAGGGCAGGCCCGGGCCATGGCAGTGTGCCTTCCCCTCACCCCTTCCAGAAGTGGGGGCATCGGCCCAAGGTGGAAGCTGACCCCAGAGAGACTGGATCAGGATGGTGTGGGCCTTGCTGACACCAGAATCCTGCTCACATTGGGTTTTTGAGGCTGGGCTGGGGGTGCATGAGGATGACCCATGTCTGAGGGCTTGGGGGTCCCCTGGAAGATGAGCCTGGAAGCTCTGGGCTCCATTGTAAGACCATGGAGGAGCTAGGCTTGCTGGTTCATGCTTGTAACCCCAGCCCTAGGGAGGCCAAGGCAGGAGGATTGTGAGTTTGAGGCCAGGTTTGGTGACACCCTGAGGCAGCTCAGAAACACAAAGACTACTGGGCCTGGGGAGTACACAGTGCTGGCTTACAGGCCAGGGCCTGTGCCTTGGAGGGGTCAGATAGGCCCAGCTAACACACACCAGCCCAGCCATGACTCAGGCTCGGGGGCTACTGGTGGGGGGACACCACCCCCGCTCCATGACAGGGCAGCTGTCAGGAGAGGATCAGCAACTGGGTCCCTGGCCTGGAGGAAGAGACCATCACCAGGCTCTCAGGCAAGGTTTCTCTGTCTTTTTTTGTGCTGGTACTTGCACTCGCTATGGCTTACCTTTTCTGCTGAAGGTTGGCACTCTACTACTTGAGCCACAGCTGCACCTCTAGCTTTTTACTGCATCATTGGAGATAATATGCTCTCATATTTTTTCTGCCTGGGCTGGCTTCAAACTGTGATCCTCAGATCTCAGCCTCCTGAGTAGCTGGGATTACAGGTGTGAGCCACCAGTGCCCTGCTTTACATTGACATTTTTATCATCATCCCAATTAATCTATGCAGAAAAGAGACTGAGGCCCAGTGTGGAATGTCCCTAGCTCAAGTTTACCCCGACTCAAGCCAGACTGTCTTTGTCCCTGCTCACAGGCCCCCAGGAGGGAGGGAACGGCCAGCTGGCAGAGCTGTGCCCAGTATACCTTCCTGTATACAGATGCTGGGCAGTTGGGGTATCAGTTCTGGAGGGATCCAGGGGTCCTGCACAGGCCCATTCATGTGCACACACCCCTGGGTAGGCCAAAGACAGTGACGATGATGACGAGGTCACAGTCACCGTGGACCGGGATCGCTTCATGGATGAGTTCTTCGAGCAGGTAGGAGGGCCTGCCCTGTCTCCTCCCCAAGCTGGGCCTGCCTGCCCAGCCCTGGGCTCCCATGTGTGGGCATTTGGGCGTGGTCACCCCTTCCCACCTGTCCTCTCCTGGAGCTTCCTGGGCTTTCCTCTGGGCCAGTCCTGGGCCCACACAACCTGGCCTTGGTCCAGGTGGAGGAGATCCGGGGCTTCATCGACAAGATTGCTGAGAACGTGGAGGAGGTGAAGCGGAAGCACAGTGCCATCCTGGCCTCCCCTAACCCCGACGAGAGTGAGTAGGGGTCCAGGAGCCATGGGGACGGCTGGAGCACTAAAGGGTGCCCAGGCTGGTTGGGTCAGGGGAGGGTTCTGAGAGACCATCCAGGACTGAGGACAGTCACTGGTGGGACCCTGGTCTCATGCAGACTTGTGTGGGTGGGCCAGATGTGGTGGCAAGGCCTGTAAGCCCAGCTAATCAGAAGTGGAGGTAGGAGGATCGTGGTGTGAGGCTGGGGCATAAACTTGAGAAAGAACTAAAGCAAAAAAGGCTGGGGATGTGGCTCAAGTGGTAAGTCTAATTCAAACACTAATTCTAGCAAAAGAAAGAAAGAGAGGGAAAGGAAATAGAAGAGGGAGGCTTGGGGGGGTCTCTTCCTGGCCCAAGTAGGGTCTGTAGCCTGCTTGGCCCTTTCCTTCCTCTGGGTTTTTCCTAAGGCTGGCTGCTGTCCAGGGAGGCCCTCTGGGAAGGAGAGGGAGGGGCTGGGAGGGGCCCTAGGGCCCCTCCCAGCTCCACCTCCCCAGGGAGCAGATGGTAGCTTTGAGGCAGCAACACTGTGGGAGGGCAGGCCGGCTGAGCAGGCAGAGCTTCCGGCAAGAGCTGGCAGCCCTGGCACCTGGCCACTTGGTACCCTGGAGCCACGCATCCTCCCGGCTCCAGGAAGTCACCTCGCTCTGCCAGCTCAGGGAGCCTGTGTGGCCTAGGTTCCATACATGCCAGGTTGCTCCCCCAAGACGACTTGGCCATTTACCTGTCTCCCCCTCCCCCCCATGCTGGTTGCAGACCTCATTGCAGCCCATCAGGGCCCAGGTTGTTTCCCTGGGTACACTTTCTACTCTCCCGCGTGGCCCCCAAGCCACCCAGACACTTCACCTGTGCCCAGCACTGTGCCCTGGGAAGGCAGGATGTAGTGTAGTTAGGGAGACACCAGGGTGCCTCCAGAGAGAGAATATGCCGGCTGGTTTGACCCCCTTTGCCCCCTATCCAGAGATGCCCCTGGTGGCCAGGCCTGTGGCGCGTCTGTGTGGCCCTGTGCGGGCTCTTCCCGCCGAGGCTAGGAGGTGGTGACTGAAGTGAGGTGGAAGGATTCAGCTTCTGGAGGGGGTGGGTAGGGTTGGGGGTAACAGAGCCCCTTGGCTTCCTTCCTTGGGGTTCCTCTGTGTCTTAAGCTGAGCAGGAGACCTGGCAGGGGGGAGGGCTGGGGAGGGGTGCTGCAGGGCAGAGTAGAGTCAAGGAGGGACCAGAAATCTGGTGGTGGGGGGCTTTCCCAGCCCAGGTGCTAGGCCTCCTCTGGGCCCGCCATCCGGCTGGGCTATTTTGGGTCTGAGCAAGGAAGGCTGAGATGAGAGCAGCTGGTAACCAAGCTGCCCTTGTTCTTGCTAAGAAGGTGGAGCCCCCCACACCCACCCACGCTGCCTGTGGGAGGTGACCCTCCAGGCCCATCCCCAAGGCCAGCAGCCATGCCTCTCCCCAGCCACTTCAGGACTTGGCTTGAGGGGTGATGGTGGAAGGCTAGCCCTGGCTGATGGGGGGGCATCCCAGGGAGCACCTGGGAACACTGCAGCAGGGAGCAGCCGGCTCCCCTGAGGGAGAGGGGCCAGCTGGGCACCCCCTGGCCTCTGCCAGCTTAGTAAAAAGATGGCTTCAGTGGCATGTCAGGCCGCAACCCCCCTTCCCCTCCCTTGGCCCCAGCCACCTGCTACCTCAAGGGCCCACTTCTTTGAACCCCTTCTCCATCAGCTCTCAGCCGGGCTGGGTGCCGCCAGTCCCTGAGGAGGGGCAGTTCAGGGATCAGGGGGACTGCACTCTTGTCCCCCATCAGCCCATGGCTGGCTGCTCAGTCCCAGCCACCAGGTAAGGCCAGGTGAGCCCCACCTAGCCTGGCTCCAGCCAGCAGCAAGTCAATGTCCCCAGCCTCCTGGCGCCAACTCCAGCCTCACCAGCTGCTCCACAATTATTCTTGCCTTAAATTTCGACCCATCTGTGTTCTGCAGGGGGTGGGAGAGGCGGGAATGGGGAAGGAGCGGGGAAGGGGGATGCGGCTGCAGCTGGTGTGGCCCTGACCCAGATACGGGGCAGCAAGCAACCACTCAGCCAGGGCAGGACCCCATCCATCCAGTGCAGGAGGCAGAGCCTGACCATTAGGATAAGGGGGAAGGTACCCCAGTGCCTACACCACACCCCTTCTGCTTCCCCAGAGACAAAGGAGGAGCTGGAAGAACTCATGGCAGACATAAAGAAGACAGCAAACAAAGTTCGTTCTAAGTTAAAGAGTGAGTTGGGCTTTGGGCTATGCTTCTTCACTCTGGTGGGTTGAGGGTGGGAGACGGTCCCTGACCCCCGGGGCGATACTGCTGTTTGGGTTCTAGGATAGGTGCTTGAGTACCAAAGGAGCATGGGAGCAGGTGAGGAGGGCTGGGATGTGGCTCCGTGGCAGTGCCCTGTCCACAGGGTCTGAGGTCCTGGGTTCCAACACCCTCCAAACAAGCTGGTGGCCGTGCAGTGGACACCTCAGCCGAGGGCCAGGTGTTGTGAAGGTGGTGGCTGCCTAGGAGCTCAGCCCTGTGCCCAGCCTTGCTGGGGCACGCAGCCAGCACACAGTAGGTTTGCCACCAGCACCCCCCCCCCATTCCCCTGCTTCCCGGGGGAGGGCCTTCAGGGCTTGCCAGCTTGCCTTGCTTCCCATGTGGCCCCCACAAATCCCACACGGAGGCCCTCCCAGGGGAGCAAGCACCCTATCCCGGACTTGGGGGTGGGTGGGGATCTCGAGGGCTCAGCCGCTGCCTCCTCTAGGTATAGAGCAGAGCATCGAGCAGGAGGAAGGCCTGAACCGCTCTTCTGCGGACCTGAGGATCCGCAAGACACAGGTGCGCGGGCGTCTGGGGCGGGGACGCCCCGGAGGCTCTGGGGCTCCGTGAGGCCTGACAGCTGCACCCCTTGTCCCGGACTCCCAGCACTCCACGTTGTCCCGGAAGTTTGTGGAGGTCATGTCCGAGTACAACGCCACGCAGTCCGACTACCGCGAGCGCTGCAAGGGCCGCATTCAGAGGCAGCTGGAGATCAGTGAGCGGGGGTGGGGCCTGCTCAGAGGCGGGGCCTGCGGGGCGGGACCGACAGGGAGGGGCGGGGTCTGCCGTGAGGCAGGCCCTCTAGGAGGGGCGACCAGGCGACTATGGTTAGGTTGCATGCTCAGCGTGGTCCCGTCCACAGCCGGCAGGACCACCACCAGTGAGGAGCTGGAGGACATGCTGGAGAGTGGGAACCCCGCCATCTTTGCTTCTGGGGTGAGTGTGGAGCCTGCTGCTGTGGCCTGCTAGCCATCCCTACCCCAAGGCTCCAGGGTGTGGGGGAGAAGTGCTCGGTCAGGGCGGTAGCTGGACCTAGCCACCTATGAGACAGGTTTCAGATACAGCCGAGTCCCCAGAGGTGAGGTCACATGTTAGTTGCAAAGACCTATCTATGCCCAGCATGGTGGAGCACACCTGTAAGAGGATTTGAATTCAAGGTTAGCCCTGGCTACATAGTGAGACTTCCACAAACACCCACTGTGTTCCCAGTATCTCCTAGGGGGCTCCACTTCTGTGCCATTGCTACCCCTGGGCCTTTGCTAATAACTGTCATTGGGGTCTTTTTCCCTCCTGATAGACATACTGTATGGTACACTCCTGGAAGGCTCCAAGTTCTCCTGGCACAGGGGGCTCTTGGGTTTATATTTTGAGACAGGGTTTTCTTTTGCAGCCCAGGCTGGTCCAGAACTTGAGATCCTTCCTTCTCAGCCTGAGTGCTGGCATTACAGCACTTAGGGTGCATTGCGGCACCTTGCTAGGGGATGCCTTATGTGAAGGAGGTGGCCCATAGTTGTGGGTGGGGATTCCAAGAGGAGAGGAAGGGGGCAGTCATTGAATGATGGTAATTCAAGGCCTGGGTCCATGGGGCTGCAGACACTGATGTTAAGAACTGTCTCTCATGGAATGGGAACTGTGGAGCATGCACAGGTAGGTAGTTCCATGGAGAAATGGAGTTGAAGCTGAGCAGATGGGTGGAAGGACTGTGGCAGTTGGTACTGGAAATCTGCCATCCCAGTTGCCTTCCACCCTGGCCTTCTACCCTCCTCTCCCTGGGCCTGTGCCCTCCCCCTGGGCTGGTCTCTGGGTTCCAGCTCTCTGCTCCTTCCCCCAGATCATCGTGGACTCCAGCATCTCCAAGCAGGCTTTGAGTGAGATTGAGACTCGGCACAGTGAGATCATTAAGCTGGAGAGCAGCATCCGGGAGCTGCATGACATGTTCATGGACATGGCTATGCTTGTGGAGAGCCAGGTGAGCCCCAGGCCCCTCAGCCCCAGCCTCCACCACACCTGGGGCTGCATTAACCCCCTCCCTTTCTGCCCAACATGCTGCCCGGCCTGGGAGGGACTGAGCCCTCAGGTAACCAACCAAACACTTGCCCACCTGTGGCACCTCTCTTAATGGCTCTGCTTGGTCCTGCATGGTACCCCACCCTGATGTCTGTTCTCTGACCCACTGCTCTGCTAGGGGCTCCAAGATAGAATGATGAGGTCAGCAGAGGGGCCTGGAGCAGATCATTGTGTTCAAGGGCAGCATCAGTGAAGAAAGGGGTCAGCATTTTGTGGTGGTGCATGTGAGTAATACCAGCTACTCAGGAGGCTGAGGCAGGAGAATCCCACAGAAGCCTATCTGGGCAAGTTAGTGAGACAGCAGGAAAGGCTGTGAGGCTTCTATCTCTAGTTAAACATCAAAAGGTGGAAATAGAGCTGTGGTTCAAATGGTAGAACACCATCCTTTTAGAAAAAATGTGAGGGAGCATGGGAGGCCCTGAATTCAAGCCCCAGTACCGGCACAGGGGCTTGAGTGCTGCCCTGACAGCGGATGTGGAAAGGAGCCAACTTCCAGGGAAGGTGGAGCAAATGCCCAGGGCCCTGGTCAAGTAGCTGGCTTTACTTGAGGGAGATACGTGATCAGTGGCTGGACCCCAGGGTATGGGCAGGCCCAAGGTGAGGTCAGCTGAGGGAGGTGAAATCCACAAGGCCTTGGTTAGTGGCCTTTGTTTTGGTTCGTTATGGGGCTTGAACTCTGGGCCTGGGCACGCTGTCCCTCAGCTCCTCAGCTCAAGGCTAGTGCTCTACCACTTGACCCACAGCACTACTTCCAGCCTTTTCTGTTTTCTGAATTGAACCCAGGGCCTCATGCATGCGAGGCAGTCTCCCACTGAGCCACCTTCCCAGCCCTGGTCAGTGGCTTTGAGTACCTGAAAGCATTTACTTTTTTGTTGGTCCAGGGTTTGGGCACTGTCCCTGGGCTCTTTTGCTCAAGGCTAGCAAGCTGCCATTTTGAGGCACAATACCATTTCCATCTATTTTCTGTTTTTCATAAGTGGCTCCTTGGAGATAAGAGTCTCATGGGGACTTTTCTGCCCGGGCTGACTTCAAACCAGTCCTGATCTCAGCTTCTTGAGTAGCTAGGATGACAGGTGTGAGCCACTGGTGTCCAGCTCACTTCTGGTTTTTGTGACAGGATCTTGCCATGTAGCTCAGGCTGGACTTGAGCTCTCAATCATCTTGCTTCAGGATTACAGGTGTGAAGCACCACACCAAGTCAGTGGGGGCTTTGGGGCATGGTGGAGGTAGGACTTAGGAAGCAGGGAGGCTGGAGGAAGCTGTCATGCCCAGTGAGACACACTGTGGTGACCTGGACAAGAGTGAAGGCATTGGATATACTAGGAGTCTGTGGGCAGTGCCAAGATTGGACAGGCCTCCAGGGGGATCATGGGACCATGATGGCCGCAGAGGTGGGCAAGAGAGGCTTAGGGGAGTCAGCCAGCCAAAGCTCAATGGAATCATTGTGCCTCAGGGTGACAGGAACATAATGATGTTATCCCATAAGCTGTGGACAGGGAAGGCTTAGACTCACCTGCTGGTCCTGGGGGTCAGGGCCCAGTTGCCGCTCTCTGCATGCCTCCCTCCATCCCCAGCCTGCATGGCCAATGCCACCCCAAGATGGTTGCTGGGAGGGGAAACAACGGAGCCTGTGGTTGTCAGCTCAGCTGAGAAGCTATATCCTGGGGCTGGAGCTGGGAAGGTGGCTCAGTGGTAGAGCGCTTGCCTTGCATGCATGAGGCCCTGGGTTCGATTCCTCAGCACCACATAAGCAAAAAGAAAAAAGCTGGAAGTGGCACTGTGGCTCAAGTGGTAGAGCGCTAGCCTTGAGCTGAAGAGCTGAGGGACAGAGCCCAGGCCGAGTTCAGGCCCCACGACTGACAAAAACAAAACACCCAGCACCATGCCTACCTCTCATACCTTATTTTCCTGACTTCAGGTTGCTGGCATGCCAGCCCTGCCCTGCCCTGAGGAGCCAGCCCTGGAGCCACCACCCGGGCCTTGCAGGGGGAGATGATCGACAGGATCGAGTATAATGTGGAGCACGCTGTGGACTACGTGGAGCGGGCTGTGTCTGACACCAAGAAGGCCGTCAAGTACCAGAGCAAGGCGCGCCGGGTCAGTGTGCTGCCCAGCCCTGGCTGGTGGGCGTCCCTCCCCTCTGCCTGGCCAGGAGCTTCAACCCTTCTTTATTTTGTGTGTGTGTGCCAATAGTGGGGCTTGAACTCAAGGCTATCCCTGAGCTTTTTTACTCAAGGCTAGCACTCTGCCACTTACTTGAGTCACAATTCCACTTCCTGGGCTAGCTTTGAATCCTCATCCTTAGATCTCAGCCCAAGAGTAAGCTACCAGTACCAGGCACAACCCTCACTTTTACTTTGAGGTGCTGGTGTTATAACCCAGTCTCAGTCCCCCCTGCCTGAGGTCCCCCAGCTCTGCCTGAGGCCTGCCCTCCCCACCCTCTGTCTGCAGAAGAAGATCATGATCATCGTGTGCTGTGTGATCCTGGGCATCGTCATTGCCTCCACCTTTGGGGGCATCTTTGCATAGGGCTGCTTGCCTGCCACGCTACCCTGGACAGCTCACCCAAGGCGGTCTGACCACGGGCCCTCTCCACCCACCTCACCTCTGGCTTGGAGCAACTCACTGCCCCCCTCTGCCCAAGCTGTGTTGTGTGCATGATCTTGTGACTGTGTGTCTGTGCAGAGATGCAGCTGGGGCTGTGTGGGGCAGCCCCAGGTCCTCCCCCAGGCTGCCCTCCCTAGCCAGGCAGGGCTGGCCCATGGGCATGTTAGCAGTCCTCAGGCTTGGGTCCACCCTGACCTGGTGCCCAGGCTTTCTGGACCCCAACCTTGCTTCTACCCCTCCTACCCTGGCCTTCTCAACTGTTTTTCCCACCCAGCCTTCCGGAGCGCGGCCCAGCTGGCCTCATGGTGCTGCTTTTTCTGGCTGGGGGAGGGGGTGGCCCCAAAAGCTCTAGCACCAAGCCTCTGCCAGCTGCCACTGTCATGAGGCTCAGGGGTGCTGTTGCTGGCCTGTCAGGACTAAGCTCCTCCTCCTCCTGGGCCAAGCCTCTGGCTCTCATCTCCCTTCCCAGGGCCCAGGAACAACCCCAGGGTGGGGCCTGAGCTGGGGTGGGGTCCGGGAAGGCTGCAGCCTGGGCCAGTGTTGCGCGTTTGGGGATGCTGGCCCAGGTGCCTTGCCAGGCCTGGTCTTGCCCTGCCCTTGCCATTGATGTGTCAGTGCCATGTGGCTTCAGGTGTCCTGGATGCAGTATTAAGCAGCCAGTCAGGGAGTGCCCCCATCCTGGGGCTCCTAGTTCAAATGTGCCCCAACCCCAGATCCCCTCTTCCTTGACAGGCTAGGAGTCTGCATGCGCCCGCATGCAGGGGGACTGGCCATGCCCAGGCCACCGCCCTCAGCTTTGCTCCTGCCTGGTACCTGTGACCACTGTCCGTGTTGCCTTCTCTGCCCTCCCCTGCCACCTCCACCAAAGGTCTTGGTACAACCAGCTGCCCATTTTGTGAATTTTTATGTAGAATAAACATTTGTATCTGTAGCTGCCTCTGGGCGATCCTTCTGTCTGCAGCAGCCTAGCCTCAGGACTTGGGGACAATATGACGGGCCTGGGAAGGGCCTCTGACGGAGAGTCTGACTGCTCCCAACGCACGTGCACATACACCTGTGCCTTCCAGTTCCTGGTCCTGCCTCGGTCTGCCCTGCCCCCTGGAGTCTTAGTTGTGTTCCACGCCATCCTGTACTACCATGTGACTTTGTGCTCCTTGTCCTGGCAAGCTAATGTCTATGCCTCCTGGACAGGCTGCCCCTCACCCCACCACCTGTGGTTGTGGGTACCTCCCACCCAAGGCCACTAACACCCGACCATGCTTCCCCACTTGTGGTTAATGGTTAGAGGAGAGACACCCAGTCCTGCGACACCTGCCTGTGGCTGGAAAGAAAGCTCTTGTCCAGTACAGATTTGTTTTTGTTGTCGTGGGAGCCACACAGTGGTCCACAAAAAGTCATTTATTCCTTCCAGAATAAAATCAGATGTCCTCAGTGCTTCTGCAGAGATGAGAACATGCTGAGCACTGCAGAGCTCTTGGCAGCCTCTGGGTAGCCGTGGTCGGTGGCCCCATAGGGTGGCATGGGACCCTTCAGAAGCGAGGTCTGCGCTTGCGGCCCGTGTACTGCGTGTTGGGCCTGACTTCTCTGTGGAAGACAGCGTTAAGTGGGGCACCCTGCCTGCAGCCAGGCCCCTGTGGCCCTGTGCCCGCCCTGCTGGGCCTAGCACATACTTGCCCTGGCGCTGCCGGCGCGCCTTCTTCTCCAGCACCCACTCGCGGCTCTTTCTTACCATGGCCCGACGTGAGGTCCTGTGCGGAAGCCTGTCCCAGAGATGTAGCTGTGAGATCAGGGGAGGGCTTGGGACCCCTCTTCTTCCCAGAGCCCTGATTCCCCCCTGTGCAGCCTCCAGGAGGGGCAAGGCAGCTGGGGCAGGGCTCTCCTGGCACCCACTGGTGTGTGAGGCAGGAAAACGAGGCCGCCGGCTCATGGCAGCCCGACGAGCATCCTCAAGCCTAATCTGGGCCTCCTGCTCTGGCTGAGGGGACAGGGGACCCCTGACAGCACACTGGAGGGCAGCCCTGGGCTCCAGGCACCCATCTGTCCAGGGCCAGCATGAGTGGGGGGGTGGGAAGGCTGGCAAGGCCCAGGCCCACACCCATGGGCGAGGGGGCAGGTGTGAGGCCCCACCATGCAGGGGGCAGGGAGAGGGCGGTGGTGGGAAGCTCTCTGTGAGTGATACCTCTCTGTGGGTGATACATGTGTGGAGAGGTGGGAGCCAGGTGGCAGCATGAGGAAACACGCAGACAGACTAAGGGAGACAGGTGAAAGCTACAGTGCCTCCCGCTCCCGACAGTGTTGGGAAGGAAGCCAGGGTGTTACTATGCAGCTGGAGCTGGCCTTGAACTTGAGATTGCCCTGCCTGAGCCACACTCATCCCGTGACCTGCTTCTCTGGAAGGCTCCTAGTCCCGTGAGCCACATCCCTGGAACTAGATGCAGGCTCCCTCTGCGCCCACGCTGGCACTTGGCACCCTTCACCCACAGCCCTCCTGTCCCAGGGGCGGCCTCACCTCTGGTGAGTGAACGCCGACTCCGTGGCCTGCTCGGCATCTTGGTTTTCTGTCAGCCCCTGTGGGACACAGAGTGCTCTAGGAGCCCCATCTACCCCCACCTGGGTGTCCGACCAGCAGGCTCAGGCCCGGGTCCCCCACCAGGCATTGCTTCCCACTGTGGCACAGAGGTCCTGCACTAGCCGCACCCCCGCCCCAGCCGCAAACCCAGGGCCCCTCACCTTCGGCAGAGAAGTTGAAGGCCCAGAAAACAGGCAGAGGTAGAACCTGGAAGCAGAGCGCAGCCTTAGGCCTTCTAGGTCTGGGCCAGACCCTGAGGCCCTGCCTACTCCCTGGCTCCCCCAGACCCTGGTGGTCCACACTCCCACCCAGGTCCCCTGAGGCTCCACCCACATGGGGGCAGAGCCCTGCTCCGGGGTCTGTACTCACTTCTTTGCTCGGGCACTGTTGGGGTAGTCTACCACCACGCCGCCCGTGAAGCCGGCCTTCGTGGCCTGTGTCGTGATCAGCTCCAACTGCGAGGACGAGGGCAGGAGTTGGCGGGGAGGTGGAGGCAGAAGCTTTGCCCCACTCCTTGGGAAGCCGGGCGTGGCCCCGGGCTGCCTCTGAAGTGGACACCGATGTCCTTCCCCATGAGACCCCACAATGGAGCCCGCACAGTGGTCACCTGTCTCTCAAGTCCCTCCCGAGCTCAAATAATTGCTCGATGACTGCCCAGGGCCTCTGGCACGCCCATTTATGTACTGGGTTCTCCAGATGAGTCCCATCCTGGAAGTCACGAGGTCCAACATGGCCTTGGCATTCACCTATATGCAGGGCAGGTGAGAGAGGAAGCCAGCGCCTCCCCTCTCCCTTTCCCCACACTTCTAAGCAGCCAAAAGGCTTACCTGCTCTGAGTTCTCAGGGTATAGCTGTAGGATCGCTCGGGCTCCTCGGACCTGCAAGCAACAGAAATGTCATGACCTCCCTGGCCTTGGGTATCCAGATTGGGACTCTTCACCCCTCCTTCCACCACTGAATGCAAATGGAGCCCTGCCACAGGACCTCCATACTAGGAACAGGGCCATTTCAGGGATGGACAGTTCTACCCTGAGGGCCAGGCCACAGGGCAGGGCTGGCTCGGTGGGTCCTCTCTGAGGTCCTGAGCAGACCTGAAGAATGAGGGAGAGCTGGAGGTGGCATAGGGTAAGAGGAAGAGCAGAAAAGCAGAGAAGGGAGAACACAAGAGACCCTGTGAGTCTGGAGAAGGTGAGGAGATAGGAACATCCAGAGCCTTCAAACAAGGAGAAAACATATTTTGATCTTAATGAGAACTGCAACCACTGGGTGCTGTGGCTCACTCTTGTAATCCTAGCTACTTAGGAGGCTGACAATGAGACCTGAAGATCAAAATTTGAAGGCAGCCAGGCCACTAAAGTCCAATTATTCAGGAAAAGACTGGACTTGAAGTGTGACTCAAGTGGTAGAATGCCAGCTGTGAACATAAAAAGCCTACAGAGAGCATGAGGTTCTAAGTTCAAGTCCCAGTATTCTCCCTCTCTCAACCCCCCCCCCCCCCCCACACACACAAAATCAATCAATCAATCCAGGTACCATGGCTCATGCCTATAATCCTAGCTACTCAGGAGGCTGAGATCTGAGGATTAATGTTTGAAGCTTGCTGGGAAGGAAAGTCCATAAGACTCTTATCTCCAATAACCTACTCAGAAAAAGTGGAAGTAGTACTGTGGCTCAAGTGGTAGCAGGCTAGCGTTGAGCACAAAGAGGCTCAAGGAGAGCACCAAATCACTGAATTTAAACCCCAGGACTGGCAAAACAAAACAAAACTGGAGCCGATGCTTCCAAGTACAAAAACAAGAGACAGGGACTGGGAAGGTGGCTCAGTGGCAGAGCGCTTGCCTTGCATGCATGAGGCCCTGGGTTCGATTCCTCAACACCCACACAAGCAGAAAAAAAAAACCGGAAGTAGCGCTGTGGCTCAAGTGGTAGAGTGCTAGCCTTGAGGTGAAGAGCTGAGGGACAGTGCCCAAGCCCAGAGTTCAGGCCCATGACTGGACCAAAGAAAAAAACAAAAAAAAAAAAACACAAAACAAGAGGCAGCATATTCATGATGGCTCTGGTAAACCACGGGCTGTCCTGTCCTGAGGTGGGAGGTCCAGATCATGTCCTCTGAGGGCTGGATGCAATGCCTTTGTCCCAAACCAACTTACAGATAAAATGAGGCAGAAAATGGGGGAGTGCTGACACGCCTGGAATCCTAGCACTCAGGAGGCTGAGGGGAAACTTAGGTTCTAGGTCAGTATATAGCTGGCTGTCTCAAAAAAGAAACCAATCCAAACCAAAAAAGCCAGGCAAAGGATGCACAACTGTGATCCCAGCCCTCAGGAGGATGGCGTATTCAAATTCCAGACTAGCCTGGACTATAGAGCAAGACCCTGTCTCAGAAAAACAAAACCAAAAAGCAGAAGAGAGCTCAGAAACTAAGGTCATCAGAAGTGACCTAGTTCCAGGTTAAAATACTGTTTGCAGACAGCACATTCCAGCTTCTAGAAGTACCCACACACTGCCTGGACTTCTATGAGGCTGAGCCTCAGACCGAGCAGCCGTAGGAAGGTCCTGTTAAAGTGCTTATGAAGGGACCCCTTCACAACCTGCAGGGCAGGAGAAGAGACCCCATACTCACAAGAACAGAATAGAGAGTAGTAAAGAAGCAGTACAGGCGCTTGGCAGGGATGTGAGTCTTCTTGTTGGCATTACAGAGCCACTGCACTGCAGAGATGCTAGAAAGGAGGAGAGGGACATGGTCAGGGTCAGGAGAGCCCAGCCTTCCCCACCCATGCTGAAGGATCTGCCCCCAGCTCTTCCTACAAACTATCTCCTCTAAGGCCCAGGGCACACACAGGGTGCCACTCAGTCTGAGTCAGCACAGGGGATCCTGGATGCTACCAGCATCTCCTGTGTGTCTAGGCTGTGTGCACACCTGCCCCCTTCCCTTCCATCTATCAAATGAAACCCCTGGGCAGCCCTACCCGGTACCGCTCACACACCTCCTTCACCTGTGATGAAGGCACCAAATCCTCATGAGGCTCTATGTCCTCTGGTCTGTGCATTCAGCCGCAGGACTCCATGGCTCACTGGGTGGGGCCTGCCTCCCTCTCCCCAGCTTTTGCTTCCTCCCCACTGCCTCAGTACCCATTATCCTCTCAATGCGACACCAACCACCAGGTGCTCTGCAAATCCACCTGGAAACAACCTTCCTAAACAGTTAACATCATCACCCCCAGCTCCCTAAACCAGTGCCGGAACCTGGCAGCAGAGGATGACCTCAGAACTAGAGAGGTTTTGGGGTTTTCTTTTCTATTTTTTGCCAGGGATGAGACTTGAACTCAGGCCTCTTGCTGGGTCTTTACTACTTAGTGCTAGCACTCTACCACCTGAGTCACATCTCTAGTCCAGAGTAGGTGGTTTTGACATACTTTTGACATTGTGTGTGTGTGTGCCTTATCTGTCCAATAAATCTGCACATCTCAGGAGAGGTATGTTTTTTTTTGTTTTGGTTGGTCATGGGGCTTGAATTCAGGGGCCTAGGCACTGTCCCTGAGCATTTTTGCTCAAAGTTAGCACTCTATCACTTTGAGCTACAGCATCACTTCTAAGAGAGGAACATTTTTCAGCATCCTGTGTAACTGCTTCACAGCCAGGTTTGGGAAGCAGTGGCTTAAATATTAAGAGCAGGAAGTGAATACACTCACCTGATGCAGCCATCAAAGGAACCTGGTTTGAAAGGGAGACCCTGGCCCATATCCCCCAGAAGCAGGTCTCCCTCTGTGTCACGGTCCAAGGCTGCATCTACAGCAGAGATGAGAATAGGAGGGCATGGTATAAGGACGGCTATGCACTCTTGAGTGTGGTGGGCAGAGTGCATCACAAGGTATACTCACCCAGCATGGACGAGCTGATGTCAATGCCCACCCAGTAGTGTCCTGACTCTGAGAGGTGATCTCCACTCAGCCCAGACCCACAGCTGGAAAACACAATCACAGAGCCCTCCAGTGGTGAGTACAGAGAAGCTCCATACCACCAAAGTGATTGTAGCCAGGCCTCACATCTCACCCAATATCCAACAGGTAGCAGGGCTGACCCTCAGGCAGACAAAGGAGCTCCAGGGCTCGCTCGGCCATCTTGGTCTGGACATCAATCATCCGAGAGCTGGGAAGGCAAAAACACAAGCTAGTAGAAAAGTATTTCTGGGGTAATCTTTCTTCTAGAACAACAATAATCCAAGAGAAGAAAAAAAAGTCAGCCAGGGTCCTTTTTCCTGACCCTTTTACCTAGTAATTCTAATATGAGATTAACAAACTCAACTGTAATTATTTAAAAGAAGCCAGGCATGTAGGCTTATGAAGGTAATCTCAACTACTTGGTAAACAAACCTTTGAGGTCAGTCCTAGCAAAAAGTTAATGTGATTCAAAGACATGCCTGTAATCCCAGCTACCTGGGAGGCAGAG